CTCACAGCACTGCACACTCGCCTGCTTTCCCCCGCCTTTCTCACTGCTCATTCTCAGCAGCTCCTATCTCCTCAGCTTCTAAAGGTTTGAACACCTGTGCACACAGTCCTTCATTTCTTCTCTCTCTAAACTCCCTCCTTAGGAAACCTCATCCTGTTGCATGGCTTTAAGTACTATTTATATGCTGACAACTCCCAAATTTCTATCTCCAGCCCAGATCTCTCATATGGGTTCCAGACTCTTAAATCCAACTGGCCTCTTGGCATCTCCACTTGAAAGCATCCACGTGTCCAAAACTGAGCTCCTGATATTTCGCTAAAACACGCACGTCCCTAATCTTCCCCAGCTCAGTTAATAGCAACTCCATTTTTCTAACTGCTGCAGCAAAAAAAATAAATAAATAAACTAGGTGTTATCCTTGACCACACTCTGTTTCTCATTCCCGACATATGGACTGACACCAAATCCTGTCAGTTCTGGAATTTTCACCGCCTCCAGTGCCTTCGCCCTGGCTCTATCACCATCATCCTCTGACTTTATTATTCTGCTTTTGTCTGCCTTCAGTTGATTTTATAATGAAGCAGCCAGAATGTGCCTGGTATGAGTCAGCTTATGCTATTCTCTGTTCAAAACCCTCCCAGGCCTTCCTGTCTGTCTCAGAGTAAAAGCCAAAGTCCTTTCAGAGTCCTCCCACAAGATGTCACATGATCACATGGGCCTCCGGGCCAGACCTAGTCCTGCCTCAGAGCCTTTCCATTTGCCGTTCCCTCATCTGGAATGCTCTTCCCCATATCCATGTGACTTGCTCCTTCTCTTCCCTCAGACTCTTAGTCAAACTCCCCTAACCCAACAATTCCTGTATTTCATCTCTTCGACAACTACCACCACCCAGCACAGTGCCTCCTTTATCACTGGTTTATTGTCTGCCCTCTAAACGACAGACTATAAGCTTCATGAAGGCACGGAATTTTGTCTGTTTTGTTCATCGCCATATACCCAGCACCTAGGCAAGTGCCTGGCAACATAAGTCTTCAAAATATATTTATGGACTGAAGGGATGAATGTATGATTCTCTCCTCTAGGATGTTGCATGTCTCTCAAACCTCATACGTTCACAACTGAAATCAACACCTCCTCCTATGGAAACAACTCCTATGGGATTCTCTGAGCATCCTCTTGAACTTCTCCCTCCTAATTTCTCGTTCAGTCAGTCACTGATTCCTACTAATCATACCTCCTTAGTGTTTCTTCAATCTACCTCCTTTCTAAATTCACCCTGTGCCGTCTCACCCACTTATTGACTCTGCAATAACCTCCCACCTGGCCTTCCTGCCTGTAGAATTCCCTCTGTTATTCCAAAGTTTTCTTTTACAGTTTGGTTTTATATTTTTAGTTTCTTTTACCCTTGATTAGCCCCAGTCCACCCCCACTGCCTTTTTATTTTTCATGACATTAATTTTTTGAAGTCTACAAGCCAGTGTCTTGTAGAATTGTATTGAATGACTTAAAAAACGCTCAGCATCCCTTTCCTGCTGAAAGCCCCTCACTGGAAACCCACTATTGAAAGATTAAAGTCTGAGTTTCTTAGGGCTCTCGGTGTTAAGTCTCCTGCCCAGGCTGAACTGTTCCACATTTAGTCTCCACCACCTCCTTCAGAAGCCTCACCTAATTACCCTGCCTCAATGCTCCCCTGATGTCCTCTCCTATCCCTAACCCTGCCCTCACCACACTGTTTTCTAATATTGTGTGTGCTTGTCCCCTCCACTAGACCATGAGATGACTGAGGACAGGGATTGTGGCTTACCCACCTCTGTTGGCCTGGCCTGCCCCAATGGAACTCATAAATGTATGCGAAATGAATGAGAAAGAGGAGAGAGGAAAAAAAAAGGAAGAGGCTCTTGTTCTGCTCTTCAGTCCCAAGGAGAAAGGGTTAGAATGCGCTTCACTAAGGAAGAAAGCCAGAAGGAGGGGAACTGTTGATGGTCCCATTCCAGGAATCAAAGCAGGGAGCCCTGGTCTTCTTATCAGCTTTCTGTTACCATCACTACAGGGAGCCCCGGGACGGTGTCCCTTGCACCTTTGCAAGCTTGACAAGGCTCAGCGACGTGGCAGTTTCCCATAGTAATGAATAGTCAAGCCATTAGCATGAAAGAGCCTGTAGGCCTATGTTTAGGACAGCCAGAGAGGCAGAGCTAGGAGTAACTTCACAGCAGTGTTTGAAAGAGGAATTCCCTAAGCAGGGCACTGGATGACGGAATCTTCAAAAACAGGAGGCAAGAAGGCTAGGAAGAAAAGAATAGCTCAGAGAGTTGGTCTGAACCTGTGAAGAGGCTGGTAAGTCTTAAAACAGGGTCTTGAAGACCTTGCACAGGGAGCTGGTTTACCAGATGCCAGAGAGTTTGGGCCTGTGGTCAAACCTGGAAAAAATGTTTTGAGACCTGGCAGTGGCTAAGGGAATTAGCTGTGCCTTGGAAGAAAAGGCACAGTGGGAACAACTCTTCAGAAAAATACTCCCAAAATCAGAGCCTCTAAGTTTCAGTTTACATGCTAATTCTGATCAGTTGGTAGGGGCTTTCAGAATTGCTAAATTGAGAGGAAATCTAAAGCCATCATCAGACTTGGTTTAAAAAAAAAAAAATTCTGTGATTGATTAATCACATCTGCCATGGGTACAGGTAGGGAGAAATAGGAAAGGACCTGGAAATCAAAAGGGAAGATAAAAGGGTGGCTCCTAAAAGGTACTGCTGAATAACTTCAATATGAGAGGCTGTGTACGTTAGTGGAACTATCATGGGCTTTGTCACTGGACAGAGCTGACTTTGAATCCCAGTTCTGCTCCATTTATTACCTGAGTAATCTTGGGCAATTTACAAAACCCCTTCTGTAAAATGGGATTGTTCCGCAAATTAAATAAAATAACATATAATTTAAAGGTAACACTTACTTAGCAATTTCTACGTGCCAGGCATTGTTCTAAGATCCTTACAAATATTAATTGATTTGGTTATCACAACAACCCTATAAGGTTATTATCCCCAGTATACTGACTAGGAAACTGAGAGTCAGAGAAGTTCAGAGACCTGCCATGAGTCACACAGCACAGCCAGGATTTACACCCAGGTGGTCTGGCCCTGAGTTCACATTCTTAACCACCTTAATACCTACCAGAGTCCACCACTTTCTACTGCTATGATTGCTGTCACCACGTGTCAAGCAACTAACATAAGCTCTATGATTTAACTTGATAAGACTTGTATCCTTGGGTATTCACCAGGGAGGTATGAAGTATGATGTCCATAAAAGGAACCACAATGGAAACAAGTATGTCCAGAATAGGATAGCCCAGAGTGCGCTCCAAGAAATGCTAATTAATGTTTTGTGATAAAATTGTTCCAGAGTCAACTGTTTGGGAGCCATAGCATTAAACAACCTTAAGCAGATTTCTCTACTGAAGACTTCTCAAGATCTTTAAAACGCTGTTATGCCTTGAGATCTCTGAGAGCATGATATAGTTCACAGAGCATATTTTCCCCTTGAAACTTTGTTCTTCAGAACATTCTTTGGAAAATGCTGAATAAAAGGAGCACTTAGAATCATGTTCCTTAGGAACTAGATATGAAAACTATGAGGGCTCTCACTTAATGAACATATCTTTCTCTCAGCAAGGAAAGAGGAAGAGCAAAGAAGAAATAAAGAGAGTTAGAGTGGAAACGGAGAGGTGATTGAAGGGAGGAGGGAAGAAAGCAGGGTTCTGCTGAGACATATGTGAAGATATGAGCAACATGTGGATGACTCGACTGTCAGAGGGAACACTAAGTCAAAAGCAGCATGTTGCCAAATGCAGGATGTGTGGTCACTTTTGTCACTACCACTGCCATCATCAGCATCACCAGAGAAGCTAACCTTCCCTCACACCTCACTACTTTGCAGACTGTGTATTATGCTCTTCATTGATATTATCTCATTTAATTCCCACTTTACAGATGAGGAAATAGAAGCACATGCAAGTTAAATAATTCACCCAGAGTCAAACTTATAAAGCGTATAAGAGGCAGCACGTAGATTCAACCCTGCGAGTCTCACCGCACAGCCCCTGCTCTCACTGCCGCATTGCACAGCTCTACTTCTAACTGCATTACAGAGGGGACTAGAATTCCATTATGTAATACAAAAAGGATATCATACAGAAATGCAACACCAAAACACTTGGAAGAGAAGGAAAAGACAAAAACCAACCAACCCACCTGCATCACTTTGGATATTTGGCTGCACGGAGTCAAACTAACTAAAGTACTGATTTTTTCCACAACACATTCAGATGTTTAGATACCATCGTATTTTCTTTCCGCCTCTTTTTTACTCCTGTGTTCACCATCCCTTCTTATGTCTTAAATTACATGTCAAGCTTATCCAATGTATCACACTTGCTCATAAAGTAAACAGGACATTTTTTGAATGTTAAAAAGCATTTTTAACCCGAACACTGTGACTACTGTATTTACAATAAGCCTCACTTAGATTTCCACAACTTCCAGTTCTTTTATTGGGAATGGAGGCCCTCAGAACAACTTCCTAAGACAGATTCCAAAAACATGAATCACAACTCAATCAAATCATTTGTGGCTCAGAAACATATCTGCATTAAATGTTAGCATTTATCCATGTTTTATCTGACTGTTGATTTTTATGCCTGAAATCTGATGCAAATAGTAAATCATACTATTTTGGGGGTTGAGGGGGAATAAACCCAGGTCTGGAAAAGCAGTCCAGGATGTGAAAAACTTGCACATCGAGTATCCTTGATTTGCTGCTATGGCAAAAAAATGTTCCGTTGGAATGCTACAAACACAGACTGGGAGGCTTCTGAAGGCAGAGTTTGTGCAAGACAGCCTGACACCTCTGATTTACTTTCTTGAATCTGTAGCAAAATAAAGGACTGCTGCGGACAGGCCAGGGTAAGATGGAAAGACTGCACACTGCTTGTAAATGTCTCTATTTACCTGGTGAATCGTGAGGGTAGGGCTTTGGGCTCCTCCGTCCAGAAGAGCTGCAGGGCAGAGCATTCAATTCGTGGCTGACTCTGAGCTGCTGCCCTTCATGCTGCTTCGGCTGCTTCTAAGATCCCATTGGAAAGCCCAGCGGGTTGGAGAGCCCCAAGGCCAACATTACGTTTCCAAGAGACTATTCCTCCCCCACCCACACCCCCTTTGCTTGCGTTGACTTTGGAGCAGCTTGAGTTTCCTCCACCCCTGCGCGAAGCAGCCGGGAATCCAGTTGTTGCGTTGGCAGAGTGAGGCAGGCGGGCGCTGAAACCACTTCCAGATGTGCTCGGCTGGCCAGCTCAGATCGGCCAGACTTCCTCTCACAGCCTCGTCCAGCAGTCTGCGTGCACATCGTTTCAAAAACAAGGCTGCTCTGGAGGAAGAGAGTCAAAGAGAAGAGCAAATGCTTGGAGGATGAATTTCTACCACATGTTGGGTCTAAAGTAAACTTTGAAAGCAGAGAAATGAAAGATAACATTCATACTGATTTTGAGAATCTTCATAGCCACTAGCTTCTCCTGAAATCTCCTGGTCATCAAAATGCTGCTGTCCCCAAATCGAAACCCAGATAACAACTGTGGTCTCATTCTACCAAGACAATGATAATGACAAAAGTTTCAAGATGGAGTGTTTTGTGACCAAACACGGAGACGAATCAGGCAAAGAACTGACATCAACAGCAAACTGTGCTGTTCTGTATTTTTGCCATTAATTCTCAGAAACCCAAGAAGTGGTGCCAGCATTTTGCCTGAGGTCATGGAATTTATTTCTGCAATGGCCCTTCTCCCTAGGTCCTTTAAGGAAATAAGAATCCCTTGCTTACTGCCTCTTTCCAACACGGTGTCTTCCAGCAGAAATATAATACAAGCCACACTGCAATTTTAAATTTTCTAGCGGCTGCATTAAGAAAAGTACCAAGAGGTAAAACTTATTTTTTAGTGATATATTTTATTTTACCCAATATATACAAAATATTATTATTTCAACACACAATTAATATAAAACATTCTTTTTTTAAAAAACTAAGTCTTTGAAATCTGGTGTGTTTTATACTTGCAGCGCATCTCAATTCCAATGCTAAATTTCATCAGAAACACTTGATATGTATTTAGATTTCATAAAATTTATAGTTGAAAAACTAGATTTATATACTCAGATTGTTCCAAATGTACTTAAAAGTTTTCTAGTAACTGAATTGAGTATCCGTTTTTCAACTTAATAAAAATTAAGTAAAATTTTAAATTCAGTTCCTCATTTTGCTAGTCACAATTTAAGTACTCAATAGCCAATGTGGCTAGTGGCTACTGTATTGAACAATGCTGTTCTAAAGCATTTAGTGGGGGTTTTTTCAGACTTGAACTTGGAGAGTGAGAGTATCCTGAATATCTTCCATTTGTGTAGAACTTTGAAGGCTGCCAAAGCACCTTCCCATCTTCTATTTCATTTTGTTCTCACAACATTTCCGTTAGGTAAGTTGAGCAGCTGTTATTTGCCCCAATTTGCAGTCAAGTAAATTGAGGTTTTGCAAGTTGAAGTCCAACTTCCCAAAGCAAGTTAGTAATGACGCCAGGACTGAAATTCCTATTCAGTACTTCTCAACTGTTTCCTTCTCCTGAGGCATGTCAAATGCTACAATGTTTTTGCTGCAACAGTAGGGTTAAACTGCACTCACAGTCTTCAGTTGGTCACCCTTCATAATCGAGCTGCCATTTGTGTTAGAATTATTGACTGCCCTGACAGCATTCCCTTATACACTCCCATCCTAAAGCCCTCACACAATCCAGCAAGCATGTCCTTTTTCTTTGGAGCAGGCTTGACATGATGCTATTCCTCTTCTCTCTGGGCAAGCTGTAGCCTATTTTAAACTATAACTCCACTCAATGCTTTAGCTAACAGACAAGTTGTAAGGTATTTATTTATTTGTATAAACCCTATCACTATTTTATTATAAAAAAATTAATATAACTGCACACACAAAAAATTACACCAAAAATTGTGGAAAAATAAACATAAAATTATAATTTTTATACAGGTGTTATGGAAATACAAGTAATTTTCATTTCATTTTATTTCATTTAAGAACAATGTATTTCATGTTTCTGTCCAATGGGATCTATTATCAGATTGAACTCATTCTGAAAATCACTCTTCTCACCAAAAGCCAGAAAAATACCATTCTTCTCTGAAATGGGAAAAGCAAGTTTTTGGGTTTTTTAAAATTTTTATTGAATCAAAATCGATTATACATATTTTTGGGGTTGAACATTGAGATATGTTGATCAAATCAATATTACTAGCAAATATATTGTTACAAATCGCACTTATTCTTTATGCCCCTTGTCCAATCTCTCCCCATCCTCTGCCCCCCTCCCACCACTGATAACCCTAGATTTCTTCTCTCCTTCTGAAAGAGTAACGGTTACTCTGTTGATTTGTTGCCTAATGATATATCCAATGCTGAGAGGTATGTTCAGGTCCCCCAATATTATCTTAGAGCAGATGCTTCCTCTGTCACTCTGGAATGGGCTTTGTGGAGACATCCTCTTCTTTTCTTTGGTCTCTGCTGGTGACTCTCCTTGTTTCAATGCACTCCAGTGGCTGGAAGACCATCTGTGTGGTGGTTGTGGTGGTTGTGGTGTGTAGTCGCTTTTGCAGTAGCTGTGGTTACTGTAGTGGCTGTGGTGGGCCACCCACATGGAGGTGAGGTTTTCCGCATGCTCCTTGGCACTGGTGCTGTGCCTGGTTGTGGGAAGGGGGTCTGGTCCCCAGCTCCATACCTCAGGTCCTTGGGCAGGCCTTGAGGCGTTGGCAGCGTGCCTAGGCTGGAACTAATTTTTTGTCCTTTGCTTACTTCTAAAATGGGGTAACTTCCTGTGGGGACCAGTACTTGAGCTGTGTGATTTAGCTAAATTGCTGCTTTGCTGCTGATTCCCTACGGAATGCTTTTTGTGCAGCTCAGGTTTTAATGGTTGACTTTATAGGTACTTCTGGCTTTCCAGAGACCCGGTGCGCCTAGGTTGTATAGAAACTCTGATCTGAGTCTTTTTATCAAACTGCACCCCATGCAATTCTGTATTCCTGGCCAGTTTCCTCTGAGTGGTCCTTCACTGATTGTGGTGCTGGTCAGCTGTCCTTGCTGTGCCTCAGTGTTCCCCTGTTGGGCCCAACTCCCCTATTGCCCATACTCCACACACTTCCCATGGGAAGGGCCATGTGCAGGTCCATGGTGATGACTCACCAGCTCTTTTTCTTCAGTTATTGTGGCCTCTCACTCCTATGTGGCTCCACAGGAATCCTATTAGAGGTCTTGCTGGCCTGGGGGCCACCAAGGCCACCTTCTCCCCTGCTGCCTCCAAGCAACTTCATCTGAAGGGCACAGGTGCGGCTTTTGCCGGCTCCTGCTCCATGCACTGAGCAGCTCCAGCCTTAACATGGCTGTGGCACAAAATGGTCAGAGCGGTTTTTTCTTTCTTTCATGTGGCTTCTCTCGCCTTCATGCACTCCATAGGTCTCTCCTCCTCTTCCCCTGAGCTCTAGTGGCCCCAGCTTGGCTGTTGTTGCCTTTTTATAGTTGTAAATTGGTTGATTTGTGGGAGAGAGTAACACCGGGGACTGTCTATTCTGCCATTTTTACTGGAAGCCCAGGTATTTATCTTTGGTTGTGGCAAAGATACATTTTATGTATTGATCACCTCTGGGAAGTCAGCACAGGGTACTATGCTTCAAGTACTCCTGCTCCAGTGCTTACTGCACACACCTAAGCAAAAGTAAGATCAACATTTCCTAGCTCAGAGTTTGCCACTGCCCTTCCAGAATTATGTGCTGTCAGGTGCAGCAGGACAGTCCCTCAGACATGTCCCAAGATGTCATGGTGGACAGCATCCTGAGCCAATGCCTGCCCAGTCCAGTTTTCTCCAAAGATCATGTCATCTTCTCCTTTGCATCTCTCATCCACCTAACAGAATGCCTGATTCAGTGTAAGAGCTGTTGAATAAGTGGGTTCATAGAGGATGACAACCAAAGCCCCCAAGACGGAGACACAAAATTGAGATAATAATTACATTGTTTTCACAGACCCTGCCTGCTCTTTATATTAACTTTGACATGGACCCGAATCTTTGTACACTTTGTACACCTTCTCCATGACCCCTACTGTCTCTGACTCCAGCTTCTTTCTCCTTTACTCCTGCATGCCATGCTCTAAGGGCACAAGAGACTTGTTATCTATGATCTAGATTTGCACGTTGCATGCACAGATTCTTCCCTGGAAAGACATGAGAAAAGAATGAGAAACAGGATATAAGTGACACTCTAACAATCCAGTGGCTACCAGCATGGGCTCTGGAGGTAGACAGACCTAGTTTCAGCTGTTATGTAACAAGTTACTGTAGGTCTTGGGCCGGCCTGGTGGCGCACTCAGGTAGAGTGTGGCGCTTGGGAGTGCGGCGGCGCTCCCGCCGAGGGTTCGGATCCCATATAGAGACCGGTCCACTCACTGGTTGAGCGCGGTGTGGGCGCGACACCGAGGGTTGCGATCCCGTTGCCGGTCACGAAAAAAGACAAAAAGGAAAAAAAAAAAAAGTTACTGTAGTTCTCACCTTCGGTTTCCTTATCTATTAAGTGGGAAAACCTTTTGTGAGGATTAAAAGACATCATACATTGTAAAGTACTCAGTAAGGCCTCGACAAATGAAAGTTGTTGTTTAACAATAATAATATTTAATTGATTTGATTTCATAATATTTAATTGAATATTTAATTTTAAATTTAAATATTTGAATATTTAACTGACAAAGATTGGATATATTCAAGGTGTACAATATGATGATTTCATATACATGTACATGGTGTAATGATTACCACAATCAAATTAATTAACATGTTCATCACCAGCCATGATGTATGTTAAATCTGCAGAACTCATTCATCTTATAACTGAAAGTTTGTACCCTTTGACCAACATCTACCCATGTCCCCCACCCCCTAGGCCCTGGCAACTACCATTTTATTTTCTGCTCCTATAGGTTTGACTTTTTCAGATTTCATACATAAGTAAGATCATATAGTATTTGTCTTTCTGTGTCTGGCTTATTTCACTTAGCATTATGTCTTCCAGGTTCACCCATGTTGTTGCAAATGACAGGACTCCCTTCTTTTCTGTGGCTGAATAATATTCCATTGAATACAGTGTATGTACATGATTTCTTTATCCATTCATCTATGGACACTTAGGTTGTTTCCATAGCTTGGCTATTATGAATAATACTGCAACAAACACGGGGATGCAGTCTCTCTGAGATATTGATTTCATTCCCTTTGGATATATGCCCAGAAGTGGGATTGCTGTATCATAGGGTAGTTCTATTTTTAATTT